GAGGTGGTGCTGTTACTATACAATTCGGTTGTATCGTTTCGGCACGATCATTTTCAAATATTTCGTTAGATCCGTAAAAATGAACTCAAGTATTTGGTATGATTTCGAAAGTGAATGTTATGTTAGTTTTCCCAAATAAAAATTAAAAAAATAAAATATTGACTGTTTTTAAATGTTTGCTATGAATGTCATTTTCAGAGCGTAAAGTTTGACAGATACCATTGCTGATGTTAGGGTGTGTTCAATATCGGTATTGAACAATGAAATGTACTAAACACGTGATTGTGAAATTATGAGTTGTGTGAAAAAATTCACTTTCTATCGAAAATGTGGGAATTAATGTCCACAAAGAGACAAAAGAATGATTTGCCATTTATTATTTTTTACTAGTGTTTTCAAAACAAAGTTGCATTACTTGAAATTGGTCATGCCGTGTAAACTTGATGATGACAATTTTCTCACTCTTATGTTTTAGGCATTTTGCATGCAAAATAACTCGACTGTTGAAATAACTCTGATTTTTTTTCTGAATTGAGTTTATGAATGAAAAAGTGATTTTGAATAAAATTGTATAAACAATAAATAAAATCTTCATCAGAACCATATGATAAGATATTTGTATCACCAACAACAGATGGCGACATTGAAAACATTCAATTTAGTACATCTGTCAAAAAGCACGAAAAGGTTTCAGGTTCTTTAAAATAGAAAGTGAGTATTTGGATTTTAAACCAGAAACGAAAACAAAACACCGAACCAATGTGTGTATGCATTTGAGCTCTGTAAAAACGCGTAAAAATGTTAAAAATTCAATTTAATATTGTGCTGCTTGGACACACAATGAAAGCGAATGAGTGAGAAAAAAAAACATTCAAAAGACACGTCTTGAAATGAAAGGAAAGGAAAGAAGTGAAAAAAAAATACGAAGAAAGAAGTCGCTAAATAGTAATGTAAGCAAAGTGTCGTATTTTGTATTTACGTTTGGTGCTGTCCAAAACCGAAAAAACTTAACAGTCAAAAACGAAAGACCACATGCAAAAAAAGCACAAACAAAGCACAAACGAACGAAAAAAAAACACGTTAAACGCGTTTTATAGTCGCATTTTTTTTTTTATCAGCATATTATTATTGTTATGGTTTGGTTTGATTTTGTGTGTGTCGTCAACAGGCAGAGTCAGTGGCGAGAGTTAGAGTGTTGCTTGGCTCTCTCTCTCTCTCTCTCTCTCTCTCTCTCTCTCTCTCTCTCTCGTCTTTTCTATTTGAGCACACATAATCAATGGACGGTGAAGTTCGGTCTGAATTTACATATACGGCATTAATTCCGATTACGAAATCAGAGGCCCCATTGATGAGCGTGAGTCTTGACGGCGATAGCAGCGAGTGGGGAACGGTTTCAATTTAGAATATTGACATTTCCGTGTGTAATTCAATCACATCACTCATTCAACCACCCATTTCGAAAATACGGAATAAAAACACATTCAAGATCACACATCACAGTGTGAGTGAGTGTACCTGATGCCCTTTGTCGAATGCTAATTCAACGAAGAAAAAAAATCCGATTGTAATTCCGATTGAACTTGTTGACCAAATTTTATGCTTTAAGGCACTCACTGTTTTTCGCCTTTCCGTTTCGGACAATTATTCACTGAAGTTTACAAAATACACGCTCCATACACTCAAAATCGCTTGTTTGCTTCGATATGAAGAAAAACCACTTGAAACCAGCAACAAAAATAAAACGAAACAAAATTACTCACAATTAAAAACATCAGAAATTTGTTTTTTTTTTTCTTCAACGATTTATGAAAACGAAGCAAAAAAAAAACCAACTATTTGGATGTAGATGAAAAAAGACACACGAAGCCAACGGTAAATATTTCAGAACAGACACACATTCAACAGGTTGATGAAGATGACCTGATTGCAATTTTTTTCGGAATGCTGCATCAGTTACATGTACGCACTCGTAACTAGTTAGTTTGGTGTAATAAATTCTACGTTTTGATTGAGCAATCGCATACTCTCTTGCTCTCTATCTCTGTCCCTCTCTCTCTCTCTCTTCCACTCGCTCACTCGCTCTCTCTCTCTCTCTCTTTTTCACTCACTCATTCGCTCGCTCTGTGCAATTTTCATTGAGAGACAACCGAGAAAGATATTTCACGCGTACAGAAAAACAACAAATGAACGAACGAAATGTTAATATTGTGTGATGAAAATTTGCATTCCAGTTGAAACAGTGTTTGTCGCGTTGACTTGTTCATGACGTCTGTCTCTTGTTCTTTCACCAAATGATTTTCATTGCTTTCGATAAATCACAGCGTAATTGTTCTTCTCATACGATCGTATATTTGTGCACGTACAATTTTATAAATGACTTGCAATAATATCTAATGCAATTTGCTGTATGGCTCTCGATTTGAGACCGGTTCAACACCCATACGGATTTTTATTCGCTATGAATGGCCGTATTTTATTTTTCTGTTCAATATTGTTCAAATTGAACATTGTAACATCAATGAAACGTAAAAGTCGTATCGACCATCAGTATCGAGTATACTCGCACTAAGCGCACATGACAATCTTTCAATATTTATTCCATGGTCACACACACACACACACACACACTGTATTATTTTTCAATTTTTTCGTTTTATTTTTTTTCTGTTTGAAGAAATTACATACCGAATATCTCTGGGCGCTGTAACAGCAGCAATATACAGCCAATACCATAAACCCGAACTGGCAACAACTGCAATCAAACCGACAACAACTGCCGGAACCGTATAATCCATGCCCATGCTAATGCAAAACGATGTTACAATTAAAACAGCTAATACACTATTGATCACCACGAGCGCGATCGGTTTCGATCGACGTAAAACCACGACTATTTTATTCGATAGTTTTTGTTGCTTTCGATTCGATTCTTCTGGGCCAGCAGCGCCAGCAGCAGCAGCACCAGCATTTGTATTGCTGTTCACGTCCACTACATCGTTGGTATTTTCCGTGTTTTTGTGCGACGGCTGCGGTTGTTGTGGTGTGCTGCTCGTTGTGTATGTACTGGTTTCTGTTGGCAGCTGTTGTTGTTCCGTTGATTTGATTGTTACTTTCGAGTGATCGGTGTGCGTATGTGTTGTGCTTACAACATCAATGATAGCATGACCATTATTACTATCATTGTATGCGTTATGTGTGTTGCAAATCGATTTGTTTGTATGGTTGATTTTTGTATTACAGTTGTTTGACGCTTGCAAATCTTCGTTCGGTATTGGAATCGCACTGTGCCTCACGGAATTCGCATCACTTGATTGATGATTGTCTGCGTTACCGTTGCTGTTGTTGCTCGTATTGATTTCAAATGATGGAATCCAATATTCATTGGCTACGGTCGGTGTTTGCGGATAATACGGTTTTTTTACAAACACCTGATCACCATCATTTGCCTCACCATTCTCGATGTTGTGAAGACCTTTACTAGAATCTACGAAATCACTCTGCGAAAAATAACGAGAAAGAAGATCGCAATGGATTAGGATATGGAGAAAAAAAAATCAGTTTTAAAACAGTAAAGCTATGAATTTGGATGGAGAAATACAATCGGTATTTCTGTATTAAAAAAGCAATGAAAAATCAAATTAGAAAAAGAAATACGAAAAACGCAACAAAAATGAACTAAAAGTAGTGATGAGAAGAAGAAAAAAACGGTGAATTAGCACACGATCGAAATTAGCACATTCAAACGAACAACAACTCAATCGGACTGTCTAATGGGAAATTTTTAAATTAGCACTTAATTAACTTTCAAACCAAACCACACCATACTCAAAATCGGCTACCAAGGCGATTTTATAATTTCTTCTTTTTTTACTTTTTTTTTCGTTTCTTTCGTCTTTATTTGCGTTCTATTTGCAGTGAAACACTTCAATATGTTTCTTTTTCAGCGGAAATCGAAAGCAGTTCCAAAGCTTTGAATTTGGAGGTATTCGTGATTTGAACGTTTTTCGTGTTTTAGCACTTTTGAACGTCTTTAAAAAATCTCGATTTTAGTCTAGTTTTCTGTTGGTTGATCCAAATTTCCAGAGTAAAATCGTAGTTCGAGTGTCGATGGTCGGTTGTAATTTGACTGATGTGTAAATATGGTTTGATATTTCAACACTGTTCCATTATTCAGTTTTCTTCGGGCCAAGCCATAGAACAGAGGAAGTTTCCCCTTTATTTTGATTATGCTCAGCAATCATTTCATTTTCATGATTCTCATCATCACATCGGAGAGCCCATTAGTCTAAATACTCGATCATTAGTACAAATCTCATCGCATTGTCGCTCTGTGAACCGATGGGCTAGTGTAGAATGGGATGGGCTCCGACTAAGTCAATGTGTGATAGAGAAAAAGAGACGGATAATGAGTGCCATGATGGGCAAATCACAGCCGATGTGATAAAAATAGAGGTGAATTACGAGAATAAAATAGAGATGAGTTGCGCGAACTAAATAGAGACGCAACGAACACCTCTCCGTAATAACGAGCATGCATCCCGTTCAAAGTACATTACTGGCAAAGGATCGAAAATAATGGCATCAAGTGGATTGCGTAACGCCATTAGACAGGAAATGATGTACACAACAAAAGGAAGAGAAAAAAACCAAGATTTTATTGACAAACATTACCGTCTCAATTGACGTTGATTTAGCCAACATCACACCATACAAACACACACACACTCACTCCATTCGATGCATTTCGCGTGCAACAATTTTGTCATGTGAAATATTTCAATTACTTGATAGCAACTCAATTAAACACAATTCGAAGGTTCCGCTATTGCTTATATTGCCACATCACCTTCAGTAATGAAAGAAATGTATGAAAGAAGAGACGAAATTCGAAAAGAAAGTGTGAGCAAAGCGGGAAAAAAAATGCAGCAGCTGAAGTTGAGTTCATATATAAGGCGAGGCGATTACGAAAAAAAAACGGCTTCTGATTCTAAAAATGGCAAGTCAATACAAAAATGGCAGGCTTGAAGTTGGGCAAGAAAGATCTGAAGAATGAATAATTTTAAGACACTTTAAGGCATCAATTCTGACACCATATGCGGAACCCATTTTTTAATTGGGGTAAAAACGCTTAATGTCTCAATTCATAAGTTCATGTCACAATCCAAAAAAGTACTTCACGCGCTCAATTTGTTCAAAAGACAAAATTCTTTCTAAATTAAGAGATTCCTCGCTAAATAAAAACTCTTACAACGAAATTCTTTTCACGCTCCAAACGATTACTTCAGCGGTGCTCTGCTTTTAAAACAGTATTTTAATAAAACATACTTTTTTCATGCTGAAAAATTCTCGATGATCATGATCGACCGTATGTTAGTGGAAAAATTATGCGCACCGTTGTGTTCATTATGATAATTAGACGATGACAACGCCAAACAACAGTTGTTGTACTTCGCGTAAATTTTTATTTTTTATTCATGTTTTTTTTTTCTATGTTTCCCATTTTGTTGATATACAAAATTCGTTACATGCACACGATTCAACGTTGCTCCCTATGAACGATGGACTTTTAACCTCGTTCGCGCCACAATGTGAACACCATCAATGAAAATACACGCGAATTGAGCATATACATGGTGATTAAGAGCACGGTGCACATACGACGATCCGAGAGTGACAGAGAGAGATAGAGACAGAGAGAGGGAGAGGGAAATGACGAATAAAAAAACTAGTGATCGTGTGAGATAAAACTAGGCACAACTGTCGTTTCGATGGTATATGTGCATGTAACACGCGGTTCATTTATAACACACGGAAAAAAAAACATCTCTCAATACACAGTTAAAAAACATTTTGCTGCGCGATTGAGAAATGAAGAGGTTATGTATATGTGCGTTGACAACATTCCGTGAAACAACAACAACACAACAGAAAACACCGCACAACACACATCAACACTGAACCGCAATTGATTTCTATCTGTCGGCAATTGAATGCGCACCAAACTGAATTTATTGGCTGTACGAACGATCCGTCCGTAAATGAATGGATTCGTACATCTAAATGACCGTACCGGTGTATACCAATCAAAATGCATGACGCTGAACGCGCGCGCGCGACCACTCTTACAAATCATTTTGGGTTTAATTTTTTTTTCGTTACTTACATACAACGCACAAATTCTTCTTAAGCACTGCCTTTTCGGTGGAAACTTTCACTGTGTTTTAAGTAGAAATTTTTTTCGATTCGGCCACTGCAACGGGAAAACTAAGCGCGAATTTTGAGAGCAAAAGAGTATAAACAAGGTGTTGTCGGTACACGGTGTGCATGACAACTACTCGACAGTCACACACCACAATGTGCGCTTTCGGCTATATTTTCGATTGTTATTTTCTTTTCTCTTCTTGCTCTCTTCGTTCTTTTGTCCAAATGAGTTCGGTTTAGGCCCATCTGATTCACACAACATACCACTGACAGTTTCGGTCAGTTGCACGTCATCTGTCATGTTTTGTGTGTGTTGACAATTGCAGCACGGTCTGGTTTGAATGTCAATCCAATTGGCGCGATTTGTGAGCGTCGTGAATTTAACCCGATTATTTTGTAGTTTTGCGATATGGAATTCCATTTTTAGCACGTCTTTGAACGTCTTTGACCTCGTTCGCTTTGTTTTGAAATTATGAGATAATAACATTGTCATTCAGAGTTTTCGGACAGTTTTTTTTTTCCTTCGACCATTGCTTATTGCTGGTGACACCTAGCGGCTGATAGATTAAAAATGTGCTTCAAGCTCTTTTTTTGAGGCTTTCAGCTCCTTAGCAAATGAAAAATTTATTAGCTCTCTAACAGAATGACTTGATTTCATTCGAAACATTTTCGGCTTACACTTTTTTCGTACAGTTTTCGATACGAAAAAGCTACGATGAAATTTTAATTGACAATTGAATTGATTTTCGATAAGACTTGAATTGTTTCAATTTAAAAAAAAGTGTTTCGTTTTTTAATCTTGAAATACTTCGCTTGGTAAATAAATAACGTTCATTCTGCTTGATATTTGAGTCTCAATAAATCCGTTGAAAAATTGCAATTTTTTAAAAAAATAGAACCAGTCGAGTTTCGAGCTCAATGATATCAATGAATTATTTTTGATCTGATCGAATGAAATTTTTCAAGCTGATCAGAAATCGAAATACGAGCTGAGACGATATTGATATTTTGCAATCTAGGACAAAATTCATTTTTCAAGTCAATTCATTTCCCTCTGGTTGAGTTCAACTCATTCCCTTCAGAAGTGCTTAAGTCATTTTTTGTCTTTGAATTCATTTCATTTTCTCGCCCCTCGAATGCAACGGCTTATTGTCACACAAATGAATTTATAAAGAGCTTAAAAATCAATGCCAATTTTGATTTAAAAAAAAAACACTCAAGCATTTCGACCGGAAAATGTCGAGGCTGTGATTAAAGATAAACACTTGTTTGTTTCGCAAGCCTTTGCTATATCAATCATTTGAATAGAGCAATTAGAGTCATGAAAAATAAAAATTGAACAATGAGCACTGCACTTTTATTGTGACGAAATTTGCAATAAATGTTCTCATGGAACGATGATTCTGTTGTATTCAAATTTCGAACGGATTTGAAGCGAGAGTGGGAGAGAGATGGATAGAGATAGGGACAGATCGATACGGATAGATGGATAGAAAGACATGGATAGAGAGGGTCGAGGTAAGAGAGTGAAAGAGAGGAGAGAGAGATGCAGTGATAAACTTTATTACTGATAGAGTGGAAGAAACGGGATGAAATAAGGAAAAATAGTTGAAATTTAAGCAACAATTCTATAATATTCAATTCAATGAGAGCAAAAGGGAGAGAAATCAATGGACAGAGAACGGAAGAGCGTAAGAAAGAACGAGAAAGAGTAGAAGAACAAACGTAAGAAGTCTCTCGAATGATCGCGGGAACGACAGAGAGGAGGAGAGAAAGAGAGAGATAGAGAGAGAAAAAGAGAGAAGAAGAGAGTCAGCGAATGCAAAATACCGATGGTGTTTTACGCTAAGAATTAAAAAACAACTCAACGCGCATGAAGTGTACTCGCTCATTAAACTAGCGATATTATAATTAAAGCATCGCATAAACAAAAGCCATGTTTCATGAATTTGATTTTTTTCTGTGCCGATTTGCTAACTTAAAGTGCGATTTCGTGTGTTCGCTGCTTTTTTCTAGCCGCATATTTGTGCGAGAGCGTTGTAGCCACTTCTGTTGTTGATGTTGTTACTTTTTTATTCGTATTGTTCGCCTATTTTGGATGCCTTGATACCATAAGCATGTGCTAAATATGTGGCTGAATTTCGAATATATTTCAAGGTGCCGTTGTATATATTAATTTTTTTGTTTGTTTCGGAATAAGTTAACTAGCAATGATTTAGCGTACACAAGTTACTTTCTTTGGTCGTTTTTTTCTTCTTCTGCGTCGTTGTTGCAAAATCCTTAAGTAGATGCTGTT